ATATATATATTATGTTGCCTTTGTATCTGGGTGATCTTGTGGTGAAAATAATTAAAACCACCATTGCTCCCAAATTATTTATCCAACTCCAGCAACCATTGGTTTATTAGTCAGATTATCTGGGTTTGGTTTCAATTGGATTATTTGTCTGGTTATTTGAGTTCAATTTGGCTAAGTTCTGAGTTAGATTATACTGTCTTGTTGTCCTAACAATTGTGTGCTAAACATGCTATCCCTTAATGACTTTAATAAACCACATCATGCCCTTTACTTTAATCTGTTCGTATCTCAACTCTATCTTATTAATTTCTTTGCAACAACCTTAGGTTCTATTCTAAAGGTGGAGGTATCTCTCGAAAATGTAGGAAACTGGAAAGTATAAAGGTGTTAAATTGGCATCTGGTCAAGATATATTCAGCCACCAGGTGGTAATGGACCCATCATTTGAAGTTTCATCCTCAATCTCACCTCCAAATGTTGCGTGTGAAGGGTTGAATGCCTCAAGCCTTTCGGGGAGAGTTGCTAAAGGAGTTTGCATTACTGGTAGCTCTATATTACCAGATTCGTCAAATGTTCTGGTGATTTTCCCCCCAAAATGTAAGATTTACACGTCTGTCATTTTCATCTTGATTCCTATTTAACTTAGCCTCCTGTGCTGCATACTAACATTTGTATCACCCTTATATCCATGTCATCCAATTTCAACTCAATTATCTCAGGTCTATCAAATATAATATAACTGAGTATTTCTTGATGTAGCATTGTACTCAGATCAGACAGCAACAATTCAAGTGCTTCAGTTGAGCAGCAATGTAGCAGTTTGTCCTCCAGGATTGTAAGTTAACCCATTAGAATTACCTATAGTTGTTTTCTAGAAAAACACCATCTTGTTACTTGTACCAAATTATAAGACAATTGTCTATATATATATATATATATATATATATATATATATATGCTACTCATCCTTCATACATTTACAAAGCATCATTTTGACATTTTTCAAATCTACCTAGAAGGGATAATTTTCTTCTCTTGCAGGTTTGTAGTGTATCTTTCTACACCTTGTGATGATGCCATATCAGGAAAGAAACATATAAATGGAGCTATGAATGCTTTATTCCATATAACAAATGTGGACGGACCTGTTACCTGTCATTTATCTACTGAAGGCTCTGAAGGAGAAAACAAACCAGCTCTGAAGTGGAGCCTTGTCTATGGTCAGGAGTTGAAGCAGGTGTGGTTTATTTTTGTTATGCAACCCAATTTTTGGGGTTTGATTCCTTAACTCTGTCTCTTATCATGTGGGATCCACTAGATTTATATCCAAAAATTGATATCTTTCCAGTATTTATAGTTTAAACATATCAATGTGACATTTATTATGATGTTTGGTTTATCAGCATATAAACTTAGGTTGAGCATTTCAAAATTTAAGTTGTGGTAAAGATTAATTATAACATGATTTTCATTATGTATACTATTGCATATTGATTCTCTTAAAAGAAGAAGACTCTAGTTTTTGAATTGTAATGCAAAATCTAATTTGTGACCTGGTAATTATTATTGGATGTGGATTTTGATATTAGGTTTAGTACCTTATTGGATTGTATTTATGTTTGGATTCTTTTTCAACTGTTTATATTTTCTTAATATTTTTTATGTTGGTTTGGTATAAAAATAAACAAGAGGAATTTGAAGAACTATTTTCATATTTTTAGAAGAGCATGATTACTTGTGCTTTCTGAGAATGGTTTTCAATATTTATAGTTCAGCTGGATATATGTTACTTTATATGTATATAAAATTTCTGTATCATTGCAGGCTTCATTTGGTGCTGTATGTTCATCTCCCATGCCTGATGAGAATCTCGACTACAGAAACATACTGGAGACAACAAAAAAGGTATCTAAGCAATTTGTTTCAGTAATTAACTTCTTGCATCTTAGGTTATCATCTTGTGGTGAGAACAATCTGGCACTACTAATCACACCATTTTGACCTAGTGTACTAGATTCTCAAACACCTGAAGTAAAAAAATAATTGAAGGTCATTTTGACCCAATTTTCAATCATTTGGCACTTTTGCTGCCAACTTGCATGATTTAACCTCAGGTTATTGGCTTCCATCAATCCTGGACTTTATCTACTAGAAAATGCATATTTTGAGCTCCCAGTGACTCTTAAGCACAACATGTCTGCCTCTGTTTTGGGTCCAAAGAAAGTGGAAGAAAATGAAAATTATTGCTTATAGAAATGAAAAGAAAATAAAAGAGAAATAAAGAACACAAAAGGAAGGTTTGTTGTTTGGCTGATATGTCAAGTACAAGTGAATTAACCCAATGGACACACTATTTTCTTTCCAAAATGACCACTTATTTTGGGATAAATTTTAGATGAGAGAGTAAATTCTCAACATAAAACTATCTCAAGACTCTTCTGTTTTTTTGACAAATTAAATAGTGAAAAAGAAAATTCTGGCCGCGCTAATTACCATCATTCATCTTTGATTATTTTTGTCATAATCCTGACTAGATTCTGGTTCTGTATACTATATGTGGCAGTTATTTACCACCATGTATCCGGAGGAGGAATTTTTTCGGAAGATTCCTGCACCTGACAATGCTGAAGATGATAGCAGCCTGCCGGAGTGATTCTCCGCATGGATGTGCTACTGATATTAGTCCTCTGGATACTCATTGTATTAATGTAAGATTACAAAAAGAAGTACCAAATAATTCATCAGCGGTCAAATATTTTTTTGTGATTTTGTAAAATTAGCAGGGTGTGAACATCTACCAATCTCATGGACGCGCCGCTGGTGCAATTTTAATTTGCCTCGTGAGCTGCTGATGGTGATTTGTGTTTTGTGGAGCTGCGCCAGAGAAAGTTGCATCACTAGTGATGCCTCCACAGTATGTCGAACAAAGAAAGTGTTACATGTGCTGCTGTTGTAAAATGACTGTTGTCTTTCCATATTTTTCCTTCTTTTTATTTATGTTTGTGACACTTGTGAGGTATTCTTTAGTATTTTTTCTAAAAAGTTATAAAAAAAATTATTACCAAGGAGAAATCATCATCGATGGATTTTGAAGGCAGGCTTAAGTTCTTTCTTTGTCATGGTTCTCTCCCTTTCGTGGGCTTCAAGTTTTTTCATCGTAACTGATTTTAGATCCTCTCTTGTTGTGGTGAGCTTTAAATTATTTTTTTATCGTGATGGATTTTGAGTCCTTCGTCAAATGATGTCCAACTCATAATGCTACTTAATAGTATTTGTGGGAGAATACTGACGTGCTAGTATTATTTTGAACTTCATCCTTTTGGTCACTTGTTTTCCAATGTGCTAGTGGTGCCCCTTCCGATCACAAATGGAATGAGCATTTCTTTTTCATGAATTCAAGTTGAGACTAGGGATTTAACATTACCTTATTAGCACATTATAGTGACAACACCCTTCTCTTCCTATCCGAACCTTACTCTTTTGGTCACTTGTTTTCGGTTGTGTAAGGAGAGAAATGACTACTTCCTAGCTGCTTGGGGAGGCTTCAAGATCAATGGTGCCCTTTCCAACCACAAAGGTTGGAATGAGCGCTTCTTTCTGATGAATTCAAGTTGAGACTAGGGATTCAACCTTGCCTGGTTAGCACATTATAGTGACAAGACCCTTTTCTTCCTCTCGGATAAAGAGGAGGGTTAAGTGTTTCGACTAAAGGACATACTCTCTTCCTTTGTGGTAGTCTGAAAGATGAATGAGGACTAGCAACTAAGCGAAGTAGTGCTTCAGCTCACTAAATGCCTCCCGACACTCCTCGATCCACAAGAAACACTTTGTGTTTTTCAATGCCCATAAGAAGAGGAGGCACTTATCATTGGATTCGGATAGGAATCATCATTATTAGCCTTGTTAACTATTGTACTTTCTTTACCAACCGAAGTGAGCGCATCTACAATATGTCTCGTATCTTCTCAAGGTTTCTATGTATTGCTCTATGGTGAACAATGAATCTGAGGAATTTTCCCGAGCTAACTCCAAAAGCACATATGGATGGTCTAAGGTGCATATTGAACTTCTTTAGAACTTGAAATATCTCGACCAAGTCTACTAGATGTAGTTAATCGTTTTGCTTCTAACTATCATATCATCTATTTGCACCTTGATGTTCCTCTCGATTTGGTGATTGAACATCTTATTCACCATCCTTTTGTATGTCACTCTCGTATTTTTCAATCTATATGGCATAACTCAGTTGATATGTGTCTCAATCTATGATAATAGAGGTGTGTTTTTTATCATGTATGCCATCCTTATCTAGTTATATCCCAAGAATGTACCCATGAAGGTAAAGAACTTATAACTCGAGGTAGTATCAACCAGCTAATCGATCCAAGGGAGAGGGTAGCCGTCCTTCGAACATGTCTTATTAAGATTGGTATAATCAATACGCATCATTTAATCTCCATTATACTTTTTAACCAATACAACATTAGTAAGCCACTAGGGGTACTACACCTTAGCAATAAACCCTACTCCTAATAACTTATCTACTTAATCGCTAATCACCTGTTGACGATAAGGAATAAACCTATAAGACTTTTGCTTCACTAGTCGAGCCTCGGGAGAGATGTTCAAGTAGTGTTGGGTCATATCTGGGTTGATTCCCAACATGTCTCTTAGCGACCATGCAAACACCTTAGAGTTCTCCTAAAGAAAATTAATAAGTTGCACTTGCTTCTCCTCGGGAATGTTGCCCCGACCTAGACAACCTAATCGGGATGGGCCTTTGTCCAAAGGTGCCTTAGGCCGGGCATCACCATCAGAAAGCATTAGCGCAACTCTCTCGGGTTACTTCTTAGCTCTTCGATGTTAATCTTTGTTGGGAATTTCATCACAATGTGGTAGGTCAACAACATTGCCCTCAACCTGTTAAGTGTGGGTCGGCCTATGATTGCATTGTATGCTGAAGGGATGTCGATCACCATAAATTTGGTCATCACCATTTTAGAGTAGGGCCCATCCCCAAACGTAACATGCAGGCTCATAGTCTTGAGAGGGGAGATAAAGTCGCCAATGAACCCCGTCAACGAAAAAGTTATAGGGGTGATATCGTTAGCCGAGAGCCCAAGTTTTTAAAAATCATCAAAGTAGATGATATTAACAGAGCTATCTATGTCAATCATAACCCTCTTTACTTATATGTTAATTATCTTTATGGAAACTACCAAAGCATCGTCATAGTTTGGGTTGGGGTACTCCATCTCTTATTCCTTGAAGGTTATTTCCAAGTTATTTTTTAACCTCGGGTGCTTTTTGATGGTAATGCATGCATAGACTTTGTGACCCGAGTTATCTACTCTCAAGGTAAGTCCACCAGGGTCGGAGACTTACCCGACTTATGGGAAATCATCGTCAATGTTTGAGCCAACTCGACGTGGTTCAAACCTAAGAGTGCAAGAGTGTTCAAGGTGGTAGCTTGGGCAGCTCTGAGGTGGCTCCAAGGTGTCTTCGAGGGGGAGGTGTCGAGCACTCGAGACACTACCTATACTAAGACCAATGTCGGGAAATTTTTTTCGATCCGATTGACGTTCAAATTGGTGACTGAGATCTTTAAGTGGGTGTAGGTTTTTTTTTTTTTTTGGAAAGAAAACCCCCAACGTATTGTCATAGATTAGTTTTTATACTTAGCCTTAAAGGGACAATATATAACTACCCCAACATCTCCACATGGATGACAGGAGGTAGATAATCCGGAAGATTGACCTTGGACTTTTATTCACACGAGAAAACAGGTAAAGGACGACTTAAATTTTTTCCTTCCACTATGACTTCCACATAATGATTATCTATCAAATAATAATTGACCATTAATATATTACCTAGCACCAAACCAATAAAGAGTCGATGGTATTTACTTCTGCTCGATACTATCTATGTTCGAGTTGGTGTATGCCTCCTGATAACCATAGGCGTACATGCAAAATATGTTACAAAATTATATTCTTGCAAAGATAGGAACCTCAATGCTATTTTGATACGAAAAATACTCAACAAGTTCCATCCTCATGCCCCTCCATATGCCTTTTTAACTCCCTAGTTTGTGCCCTTCTTGTTCTATAGGTGCTGCATGAAATCCATGATAAAACAAGTAAAAATTCACGAAACGATCTGTCCAGAAGCTATCCACTAACTGAGCTCAATGCAGAATTCTCTACAGCGATGATCATGATATACTTATCACTTCTTTATCTATACACAATGACCAGTATTTTCGTCGAAATCATCCAGGTCATAAACCTATTTGATCATCTGCGGGAAATCATCCAGGTCATAAACCTGTCTCCTTCGCTATCTGTTAAGATCACCCAAATGCAAGTAGTCAATTAAGCACAATAACCTCTCATATTTCAGTGTAACAACTATCAAAACTAAAGTTGCAAAATCATTGATAGAAGCAAGCAAAACTACAAGACCGAGATGTTTAGTGTGGAGTTCATCATTTGTTCTCTGAAATTTAATTGTATAGAGGAGTCAGTGATTGCAGACACCGGCCGGAGCCTTGTGTGTTGACTTTGTCCTTTTCAGTGTGTGGCTCGGACTGGAAGTTAAAGATGATGTGTACATTTTTCTACCTACTGTTTGCATCTGTACATATTTCACACATCGGAGCAATGATCTTAACAGTGGTCTTAGCTTTCAGGAAGCAGGAAGTTCAAGCGGTAACTTGCATCTTCATTTAGGTAACAATGTTTCATGAAACTTGCTGATAAATTTTTGACTTGCCACAGTTTCTCTGACCAGATCTCCAATACCAAATACTTAACCTGTCCAAATGCTTATGCAATGGAGTGGATGTATATCTTTGGCTCAGAGTGCAAGGCAAATAGACAAATCAGCATGTTTTGTTAAATGTATCAGTTGACAGCGACTGAGTCAAAGTGTTCAACTTTGTTAGTTTGGTGGTACTCACCTCATGAAGGTTCTAGAGTTCCATCGAGTGTTTGTCATCCCATTGTATATCCTTCAGCTTGGAATCAGGTTCAGTTCCAATCAATTGAAGTGGGACATCTAGACAACGTGGAGTCTGTTGAAAAATGAAACATTGGTTGGATACTACTTCAAAAGAAAGCTTCATGAAATACAATACAATACTTAAAAAGATTACCATGCAAAAAATAAGAGGCCAATTAACATCATGGAAAAAGAGTGTTGTTTGATCTCATGGGCTCCAGTTTTTTATCTCAAACAATTAGCACGGTCTCAGGTGAGTAGACCATGGATTAACTGCCTCGCAGCTAGGCTAACCTGCAATTGTGCAAGTAATCATCGAACAAGCGATTTTCTTTTCAGAAGTCTTAATGTTTAAATTGCAAGTGCTAAACTTACAGTAAAGAAATAAGAAAAATGACGTTTAGAGACTAAAGAAGCCTTAATATAGAAAAAGGAGAAAGTAAGAGTTGTGATCAAAATGTATTTTTGTTATGGACAATCTAATCTGTAGTATATAGAAATATACTACAATGAGTTATATAAAAAATTTTGTTATGGACAATCTAATCTGTATTCATGGATTATAGCATTCCTTCCTACAATCTGTTCAGTAATTACAGGGTCAGCTAAAACAATTCACGGAGTTGCTGACGAACCCTTTCTGAATATCCTGTCATGCTGAAAAACCCAGTACTAGCATACACTATAGGGCAGCAAGGCCTGGATGCATCTGAAACAACAAAACACTGCTGCAGAGTAACAAGTGCATCCTTTACTCCTTCAGAGTCCCTAGGAAAGTCTGATTCCAAACTAAACTTAACTCACCAAACATCCTTGTTGAGTTTGAAACTCTCCACAGATAATTTGTATCCCTCCCTTGACACTGTTAAACCCTCGTTTCTCTCAATAGAATTCAGACTGTCTGTGCTATCGACAGTTCTCCACTCTCCTAAACAATTATGTGCTTTTAGTTTTGCTTGTCTTCTGAGCTAATTATAGATTACCCCCCGTAATTAGTTACATTTAGCAATCCGATCTCTACATTTTAAAAAAGTTACATTGGTATCCCTATAGTTACGAAAGTGAAATATTTAAGTCCATTTATCCTAACGTTATCGGATTTATCAACGAAACACGAAAATAAAAGGCAAAGAGATAATTTTAACATTTCAATTGGTGGTGGTGAACGGTGTCACCGCTGGAGATCACCAATGACTGTTGTGGATGAAGAGAGCAATGATGAGCAAGGGCCGCTTTGCATCTGTGTCGATACAATTGCTGAGCGATGAGAGGGCAGCTCGACATCTGTATCAATGCTGACACAGATGCAGAGTGGCCCCTCACCTCCCGCCGTCGCTCTCCTCATCTATAATAGTCACCCGCGATCCTAACGGTGCCATCGTCCATCATAACTTACTGAAACGTTAAAATTATTTTTTTGCCCTTTGTTTATGTGTTTCCGTTAGTAAAATTGATGTCATTATGGTAAATGGACCTAGATGTTTCACTTCGTAACTATAGAGATGTCAATGTAACTTTTTGAAGTGTAGGGACTGGAATGCTAAAGGTAACTAACTACAGAAGATAATATATAATTAGCCTTTGTCTTCTCTAGCATTTCATTGGAGACCGGGTGTTTTCTAGAATCTACAGTTGGAAATGTTTAGTCGGTTCTGCCCTTAACTATCATCCTTGATGCACCTACATAGCTTGCTAATGAGATATCCCAGAGTTGTCTAGGCCTTCTTCATGTTCAGATTTCCATGAGCTTGATGCCATTGTCTCAATAACTAGTGAGTGCCAAAACCAAATTCTTGTTCTAAAAGATTTTCACTTGATCCTGATTTATGGACTAAGAGTTCAGTTTCCATGCAACAATTTTCTGGAAATAGAAGGCCAGTAAGGTGCACTAGCAAACAACAATGCAACAAGTTACTCCAGATGGTCGAATTCAAATTTAGACAAATATCTCAAAAATGTCAGGAACAGCTAAAATCTTCAGCAAATTCATTAAAACCAAATCAATCTGCAAATGCATAAACTCCTTCCTATGGAACACACAATATACGAACTTGGCAAGAAGAATGCCACAACGTGATAAAAGGTGAGTCAGAAGACAAGATTCACTTTCAAAAGGTAAGCAATTAAAAGCGACAAGACGGAACCAAAAACTGGAAATTAAATTCTTTGAAAACCTAGGCTTGTCGAACAAGTAACACGAGAGCCACAGGGGCTTCTACGGCCAAAAGAACGTGGCCATCGCAAGAAAGGTAAGGGTCGCAACGGAGAAAGAATCCAAGAAACCATCGAGTCCCAAACGAGTGACAATCAATTACTGAAATCAAGAAGTCTGAGACAAACAAGATTTCCGTTCCTTCCCATCCATCCTTCTTTCGTTCTTCAATGGAATCCGAGAGAGGGGGGGGGGGTGTCGGGCCGCAGAGGAATCGAAATCTTGGGCGGGCCCATCGATGTTTCTTGCACTAGAAGGACGAGGAGGAGAAGGACAAACACTCGAAAGAGGAAGTAGCGCGAGAAGACCAATCGAAAGAAGCAACGAAAGAAGCGGCGACAGGAGGCAAAGAAGCAAACAAAGATCACCCGCGGAAGAAGAGAGATCCAAAGATCGCTCTCGGCCTCCATTTCGGTCCCACGCTTGGAAGTAACGGCAAGAACGGCAGCATTCCTGCCGAGAAGACGACCCAAATAGTGCTCGTTACGATGACTTCCCCATCAATATATATATATATATATATATATATATATATATAT